TAAAGAATCAGTTGTACCACCCCTCCAACGCCCTCTTTGTTTTAAGCCCTTGTTTTTTATTTTCTTCTTTCCGACCAGGTCTTGTAGACTGCAATCAATCCGGTCTGTCTCACTACTACTTCGATTCCGGTCTGTGGCACGGTCATGGTATACGACCATCTTGGGGCTTTTTACGCGATGGTGAGCTGCACACGATCACTCTAGCCACGACTGGTGCCGTTCGTACCACCGGGGGAGTAAATGCATTCTCGTTGGATTTGAGTATGCCACCGAATGCGATCGATATGATTGACGAGGTGTGTTTGAATTGAGTTCCCTCTCCTCCGCACATTGTATCGTTCGATGTCTTAATCGGTTGATATTTTCCCCTACTGTAACTCTTCTTTACGATTGAGTAGATGGCCTACCCATCAATAAGTACCCAACCACATATGGTTGCACCAAACACGTAAATTATGATTATAGTTGTTCGTCGTTCATTTTTACGTGTCAAGTGGTTTTTTCGATCAGGCTTCCTATTGATCCAGAATTTGTTTATTTCTTTACAGACACTCTTGNCGTCTTTGCGTGTATCCGACTCTATTCAAACCACCGATACCGTCCAACCCAATGCACTTTCGTCCATATTTCACCCATCCACAAACGGCTGTGCACTTTGGGAGCCGATTCCCGGTCTTGCACCATTGGAAGCTTATGCAGACGCTCTCCAATGTGATGTGTTTGACGCTAACTCCTCAGAACACACGCCGTCCGAATCATCGAGCACTCCTCGTGTTGATCGAATGCGCCGTCTCATGAGTTTGTGTTTAGCTTTGTGGGGTCGTCCTCCTCAAGAGACCTTGGCTGGTGTACTTGAACGCGAACAGGAACAGTTACTTGGTGAACCGGATCCGATCGGGCGACCAGGGCAAACGAAACACGCTAGAGATTACGATCATACGTTGCCTGTCGATGCAACACTGTCCGATGAGATGGATGAAACAGAAAGGCGATCCTGCCCGGCCGGTATTAGTTCCGTGTCTTGCAAGCAGGCAGTTTCCGAATGGATCAGGTTCGTTGGTGTATATGTGGAAGCAGTGCTACGCATCACTCCCTATTCCTTCATGTTTGGATTCCAGCTGGACCTCAATGGTTTAGTTCCAATTGGTTGCCTGTTCCAGCACGTATCCAGCGATGATCGATGCGTATAGTCCTATTCAACGAAAAATGTACAATTTCCATCTGAAGAACATGATTCATACACTTTAAGACATACCCTTGTTGTCTACTCAATGTTCATCTGCATGCAAACTTCACAAGCTTTATTAGAGGACCATTTCCTGTTCCCTCTAACCTTCAGTCATAGTCATTTAGTCTTTTTCGGTTTATACATTCGGACAGTCGCAGTCTAAACTACTGCCTGTTTTCTCAAGCGTTCTTGTATTGCTTAGCGAACGAATCGCTAACAAAGGTAAAAGCCCTAAACGGAAACTATCCTAGAAGGGCTAAATAACTGTAGAAAACATTGTTGTCTCAAGTTGAAGTCCGATTAAGATTATGAACATTCTATTTAATTGATTTTTTGCAATCATGGGATGTGAAAATCAATTTGGACTTTGATGCATCCTTTGGATAGGATTCGTCGTAATGGATGGGGTGAGATACATGTTTTGGTTCCAATTGCGCAATTAAACTTGCACTTAGTCATTACTCTCTGCGAAGGATATCAATTATCCATTGGTGTTCTAGAACATTCTGCCTTTCAAGTTTTACAATTATCTTGACGACTAGTTCACTCGATTCGGTCCAAAAAATTCTACTGATTTTGTGTGCGCGTGTGTGTGTTGGATGGAATGGTGTTCGCGTCCTGGACCATACAAAAGAGACAAGAACAGCGCTCTACCGGTATTACGCCATCTGATTCAATGCAAAGTACAGTTAGTTTTGAAAGAAGTAAAAGGAAGTGTTCTGATGAAATAAGACCACCGATTGATTGCAGAGTCAATGTTCCGCCGTAAACCTGTTCGATTCGCTATCAGTAACTGGCTCACGTAAGAATTTGTGATACCTCTTGCTCGGAATTCTCTCATATTCGAAAGGCAAGCTAATTCAAGGGATGCTTATATCTATATCAACGTCACCTTAGATTCTGCATTATACTCCGAACGCCTAAGCCCTTTCCAACAGGATGCATCATTTTACAGACCAGAGGACGCATTCCAGTAGTTTGCTTCTTTGCCTTGACTGTTCTTCATTCACAGACTCAAAGTGAGATTCGGGAGTTCGTCATATAACTCACTTTCTCTTCCTCAGGCTATCAAGAGGTTCTTGTGAAGCGTTCTTGATTGGGCGTTGTGTCGTGAACGGTTTTAATGTAACTTCCAATGAAAACATTCATCGGTCGTCGTCCTGCGGTTTGAAGTAATGCTAGATACCAGATAAAAGTCTGTTTTCAGACAACCGTATGTTTTTACCCCAATAGAGATTCAATTTCCAGTGTAATGCATTTTGCATCTGGGCATCTAGCGCTCCATTAAGTCTCAATTATGATAAACTGACGGCCCGTTTTCCACGTATTTTATTCTCTGTCCCTCCCCTCCCCCCGTTCTCCTCAGAACTCAGTCTTTTTCTTGGCTTCGAGCCCGACTGCGTCATTTGAACTTGTGGCATTTAGTAAAGTCTCCATCTGCCAACCTCGGCGATATCACTGACAGCGAATCATCGATGATGGAATTCCCGGTGCCTAAACTGACGATAGTGACCACAGAGACAGTGGGTGAAGGAATCTTCGCGTGTCTCGTCGCAGGGGAACCAGGTGCTGCTTGTCGTTTGGCTCTTGGTGCCTCCATGTCCGGTTTGGCCTCCCTGATAGCTCAGGCCACGGCCGGAGATGCAATCGTTCGGCGGGGTTTACAGCGACAATTGCAAATGTGGCACGAATTGAAGGTGAGTCAAGAGCAAGGTCTCCTCTTTTGTGGTAAAGTTCCTCCAAGTTGTTCAATACTGTTGTTATTACTCCAGATCAAGACCGTTTCTGTTAGTACACAATCCTCATATGTTTATAACATCAATTGACGTGGGTGCCATCCACTCTAGCTCAGTTCATCAAAAGAAGAGCTCATTTCTAACACGTTTCACAAAGTTTGAAAGGTGTTCATGTCCCAAACGACGGCGTGCTCGGTGCACGCCGTCGTTTGGGACATGAACACCGAGTATGTCCTGCGAGCCGTCTTCGTTCCAGTCCCTTGAACGTACGCTGCTGGCAACTCTATGCTCTGTGACTGTCCCCCATGGTTGCACCAATATCTGTTCACTTTAATTTCATCGGCGGCCATCCTACACTTGGATTTACCGCTTCGTGCTAGTTGAATATATCACCTGTCACCTCTGGATTAAAGTTAAGTTTAGACAGAGGCTTTCAGTTAACCCAAGTCAAAGCCAAACATACCTCGTGGCATTTTTTCTTGTCATTTTTACTTCCTTTTATTGAATATGCAATGATACAATTTTCAGGAAGGAGTAAGCGGCCAATCAAAGGGTTGCCATGCAACACACAAATGGGGAAAGTCAGGCGGCGGTGGTGGGATTCGAACATTCATCCTCCGGGGTGATAGTTGGTGATGTTTTCACCGGACCACCACCGCCCACTATTATTATAATTCCAGAAGGCTTTGCTGGTCGAGGACAGTTGTTTATTGAGGATTTCAGATGGGATATCACCAATTTGCCATACATAACATAAAACATCTGATCAGGAACATACAATCGCCGTTCTTGGAGGCAAACCAAGTAATGTATAAGGCAATCGGTAGTTATTCTTTCGGACACGTCACTTGGCCCCCGGTGGTCTTGTTATATTTTGGATCATTGAAAGAACTCAAACTATGTTAACTACAAGTAGTATCTCACAACACCATCATTCGGGTCGTGAGGAAACGTTTGTAATCTAGCTGCCAAGCCTGACGATCTTCCACAAGTAACTGATCATCCTGGATTGTGTCGGTTTAAACACGGGCGTACACGCAAATGCTTCACTGATGTGTCTTGTTTGGTGCAGAAAACATTGCCTGAAAGAAAGTGTCCTGATCAATCCATGAAAAGGTTGACCAGTGCGCTTTACCAGCTTGATTGGAAGCCAGAAGGTAGCAACCAAAGATTAACCACAGAAGCGTTGGTTCATTATTTGTTCAAAATAGAAACGAGAATCGGATGAGATCAGGGTGGTTGCAGTGGTGCACAGAATTGATGATTTCTTTACGCAAAATGAATTGCTGTCCGCTTCGGGGATTTCTGTGTGCTGCAGTTCGAACTTCTGTTTTGTTACTTTGTTTCATTCGTTTGTAGAGCTTTTTACTGCGTGCCTTATCCCTGGGGTTACTCCCTACGTCAAAAATCGAACTGACGTCGATGTATGATTGAAAACATTCTGTAGTTTTTAGTTTCGTTAGGTGCGTGTTCGATGTCTGGTCGTTGGACAATATACGGGAAAAACTAGAAATTAGCGTGCAGTTACTGTTTTCAATCCCTATGAAAAATAAATGAGTAACTACTTCCTTTTTTGCTTATTGAGTACACAAATGTACAATCAACTTCCCGGAAGGAGTCCGCGACTGTTTGGAGAAAAACAAAACTGTGGAAGACAGGTGGCGGTGCCGGGGTCGGAACTCAGGACCTTCTGGTAGTTATTTTACTGACCCTAACCGCCGGTGTTATGCTCACAAATTAGTTAATATTCAGATACGAACTTTTGAAAACATTTGCGAGTAATTCCTACCGGCATTAGACGCTGCGATAAAATTAAGCCACGAATCACGATTTTTCCACTCTGAATTGTATTGGATGTATAAGTTTCCTCGGCGCGGTGATCAATGTCCATTCAGTTATCCGTGCAGGTATCTGTCTTCAATCGAATACGAATCTCATTTAGATCCCGGTCACTTACTATAAATCAAGGTAATTTTGCACTACTTGGCCAGTGTGCACTGGTGCAATTTTAAAGCACTCCAGTAGTTTTGTTTTTATCGTTGGCATTCTGTCAGCCTCAGTTTCTCTTTCCCCATTCTGTTTTTCTCCAGTATGATCAACACATTCCACTGGTCATTTTACGCATCTACGCACTGTTGGCTGGCCGTTCCGAGTTTCCTCATCCTAAAACCACTCGTCCAGTCCTTGTTCTAGCTCAGTTAGATTGGATTAGAGTTCTCGGTGCGTATATTTGGTATTTGACAGATTATGCTTTGGATATTACCGAAGTGTTGAATGCCTATAGTCGGGCATGGCATGGCAGTGATCCGCGTTCGGATAGGGCTCTGGCACGTCCTATTCCACCAGAGGATAAGGATTTGGACCCCTCTGATCCTCCACAGTGTCCACGGATGCCGACAGACTTTCCGGAGTTCATGATCGATACAGGTGCGTGTTTATTTATAACTTTTCTTATATGTGAGAGAGATATTATTGATTATCACATTATATTTATCACTGGTTTTCTATTTCGGTCATCATGAAACACACGTTTGTTTTCATCTTCA